GGACTCACAGACGGACACACAGACATAAATATTGATGAGTCAGTAACCTTGAATATTACAGTAAACAACCTGAAGGAAGTCAAACTCTTTATAAAATAAAAGTCTTATAAAAGGTTTGTCTCGTCGCCTCGTCTCTGTATCGTCTACCTGCAGCTGCAACCCAGGGCAGCTACCCATCATGCACCGGGGTTCAACAAAGACCTCACACAGTTTGACACGCCTCCAAACCTGGAAACTGTTGATAACGTTACCACGGCAACAGGCTTTGTTTCTCCTCTTTATCAGTGGCTCTGTGATTGGTCCAGACCACCTGATGGCAGTTTGACCTCTGACCTCCTCCCTGCTGCTGATGTCATCCTGCTGCGTGTGTGTGTGAGCTGTATACTGCCGCTGATTACTCGTCTTTTTGTTTTCAATGAATCGTCTTTTTAAGGTGTCATCAGCCGCTATTCACACACACACTCACACAGTTGAGAGTGTGTGTGTTGTGTTCCAGTGAAGCTTTCAGCTGTAATTAAAGTTCATTAAAGTTTATTGAAGATGTTTGAAACGCCGGCGTCTGATTGGCTGACGGGTTAATGCGGCGGCGGCTCCTTGTGCGGCTGCAGCTGCCGCTTCCCGTTTATTAAAGACAACACTCGCTTCTTAACGAGGCCGAGAGGTGCGTGACGTCATCGCGGCTTCCTGTCGGAGATTGAAGACACCTGCAGACTCACCTTCACGATGCACACACACACACACACACACCAAACACCCGCACACACCACACGCGGGTCAAAAGGTCACCGAGGCCGTATACAGAAATATTGTACTATTTTATTGATTTGTGTTGATGAAGTAAATGTTCTTCCCTGTTCCTCCCTGTGGGACTCCTGTGTGTGTTTTGCTTTATGGAAACACTTCTCTGCACTGCCGAGTCCAATATTTTTAGATTGCAGTGTGACTGAATCTTCCCGAGGACCACATAATCTCGAATCCGCCCAGTAAACGATCCAATGAAAATCCGCTCAGAAATCATTAAAAAACAACATTCCTTAAGATTATTATAACGTTTCTACATTTTCTTCAGTATCACTTTGGTTCTTTGTGGTCGTTCTACGTCTATCAAAATAACCTAGTGTCTGTACATGAGTCCACTGCTAACAGGAAGTGCTAACAGCTAATTGTGCATCCTTTAAATTCTTTACTTTATTACTTTAAACCAGGTATCTCAAACCGCTCCTTCATACACGATTCAAATAAAAGAGTCAGACGCAGTAACCTGGCTCCAGAAAACAAAGGGAAGCAACTCGGAGAGATAATTTAGTTTAGTTTTAATCAGAGTTAATACCAGTGACCAACATTATCGAACAGAATACAGACAGCAGAGGAATCCAGGACTGACTCAAACATGAGATCACTAAAAATAATAATACAGAGTGTAGATCAGTTTGAACAGTAACGGTTCGACTGCAGGTGTATTCACACGATACTGTAAACCCATTCACAGCTCAGCTCTTACACATTAAAGATTAATTAATTAAAGATAAACATACAAAAAATAATCATAATGAAGATTAGATTTCCACACATCAAGTTAACTTTAGTCTGACCTTAAAGGTTTGGTCTGAACAGTCGATCGTATGATTGTTGAACTTTGACCTGCACATCTGTAGAGCCCGTCATGTGACCTCCTCAGGTGGTGCCATGTGACCTGAGAGTGTGTGTGTGTGTGTCAGCTGTCAATTACCAGCTCCCATTAAGGTTCACTTCCTGAAAGCTTTTCTTAACAAAGAGCTAATGAATTAAAGGAGCTGCTAATCTGACTGCAGCAGCTGCTACACACACACACACAGGTTGTATGGTGGGTGTTGTGTCTTGTGGTGGTGTGTGTTGTTGTTTGTGTGTTTTGTGTGTGGTGTGTGCGTGTGCTGGTTGTGGTGTATGTGTTGTGTGTGTGTGTAGCACTGCTGCAGTCAGATTAGCAGGCTCCTTTAATTCATTAGCTTTTTGTTTAAGAAAAGCTTTTCAGGAAGTGAACCTTTAATGGGAGCTGGTAATACAGCTGACACACACACACACCACACACCACACACACACACAACAACACACACTCTCAGGTTCACATGGGCACCACCTGAAGGAGGTCACATGACGGGCTCTTAACAGAGTGCAGGTAAAGTTCAACAATCATACGGATCGGGACTGTTCCAGGACCAAAACCTTTAAGGTCAGACTAAAGTTACACTGTGATGTGTGGCAAATCTAATTCTCTCATTATGATTATTTTTGTTATGTTTATCTTTAATTAATTTAATCTTTAATGTGTAAGAGCTGGACTGTGAATGGGGTTTACGAGGGTATCGTGTGAATACACTGGCAGTCGAACCTTACTGTTCAAAACTGATTACACTCTGTATTCATTATTTTTCAGTGTCTCATGGTTTGGAGTCAGTTCTGGATTCCTCTGCTGGGTCTGTATTCTGTTCGATAATGTTGGTTCACTTGGTATTAACTCTTGATTAAAACTAAACTAAATTTATCTCTCCGAGGTTGGCTATCCCTTTGTTTTCTGGAGCCAGGTTACTGCGTTGATCTTTTTTTGAATCGTGGTATGAGAGGAGCGGTTTTTTTGAGCATACCCTTGTGTTAAAGTAATAAAAGAGTTAAGAGAATTTAGAAGTGATTGCACAATTAGCTGTTTAGCACTTCCTGTGTTAGCAGTGGACTCATGTACAGACACTAGGTTATTTTGATAGACGTAGGAAGAGCACAAAGAACCAAAAGGATACTGGAAGAAAAATGAGAAACGTTTATAATGAAATCGTTAATGGAATGTTATGTTTTTTATGATTTCTGAGCGGATTTTCATTGGACGTTTACTGGGCGGATCCGAGATTTATGTGGTCCTCGGGAAGATTCAGTCAACACTGCAATCTAAAATATGGACTCGGCAGTGGCAGAGAAGTGTTTCCATAAAGCAAACACACACAGGAGTCCCACAGGGAGGAACAATGAAGAACGTTTACTTCATCAACACAAATCAATAAATAGTACAATATTTTCTGTATGACGCCTCTGGGTGACCTTTCTGACCCGGTGTGTGTGTGGGGGTGTTTGTGTGTTGTGTGTGTGTGGTGTGTGTGGTGCATCGGGTGAAGGTGCAGTCTTGCAGGTGGCTTCAATCTCGACAGGAAGGCCGCCGATGGACGTCACGCACCCTCTCGCCTCGGGTTTAAGCAACGGGTGTAGCGGGTTGCTGGGGTTGTCATTTCAACTAATACAAACCTGAAAAGCCGAGCGAGCGGAGCAGCTTCCTGCCAGCTAGCCAAAACCGGAAGGTAGCTCGCTGCTTGTCGTGTCCGCTGCCCCTTGTGGGTCAGGAGTGTTGTTGGCACATAAGATAACACCACAGGCTCCCAGCTGTGCAAGCACGTTGGAGGCCGAGATTCTGGATATACTTCTTCTTCTTACCCAAAATTCTAAAAAATGTTGCAAGTTAGATTGCGAAGGTTGATATACCATCTTGAATAGGTATTAAGCTGAAGAATAATCGCAGATACACTGAGAGAGACTCCCAACATATCCCCCTCTCCCACTCTTATACAACTGGTGTGAGAGGCGAACAGGCGTGTGCCTCTCTAATGTAGGTGGCGTATATGACGTGTGAGGCGTAGTGTCATGCGCCCTGACTTTGCTCTGATAGAGATGCTTGTTGATGCGTGCTGATGGAAAATGTTAATCCGTGCTGATATAAGCTCGTATAATAATATATTCAGGGAACAAGTATCTCCATGTAGAAAAAGCCAAATCAAACTAGGAGTACAAGATTTAAAATCTAAGTCCCCGGGCAGCGTGGACAGATTCCAGGAATTGGAGAAAAATCGACTCCTACGTACAACACCCACAACCAGCCAAAGCACATGTAGAAAGTGCGAGTGAAATATCCTCAACTACAGCCCATGCCTGTAAGGGTGACCCAGAGAGAGACGAGATCAAAAGAAGCAGTATCAAACTACCCTTCCCAATATCATGCAATTAGCGTGAAACTCAGTATAGAGGCAACAAAGTCACATTGACCACCCAAGGAATTCCTAGTTATATAAGTTAGTGTGTGAGAAAAAAAACAAAGTCTTCAGTTGTGCCCACGAGTGACATGTTATTGTTTTAAGTTTTATTACATTTCTTTTATAAAATACTGATTGAGAAGGCATATTTTTATTCATTCCAGGGATGTTTGTGTTTTTTAATTACAAGATTACATGAATATACTTACAGTTTGGCTTACAGTTGGGTTTAAAGGTTTAAAGAACAAAGAAGGATCTTTTGGAGCTGAGACATGTTTTTCAAGAAGCATTTGATAGTTTCATTGATTTAAAATAAGAAATGTCAGCCATTATTTGGTTGGTTTAATGTTTATTTTTACCTTTTTTTTTATAGTACAATTCTAATGAATATTAACAGGGCCAACATAAGTTTTGGTAGTTTTTTGATGTTAAAAGCTGTATATTATCTGGTGTTAACTCGTATTTGAGGGGTTTTGAGATGAATGTAACATAACTAATAGATAGGCATGAAGTCATTGCAAGTGGATGTTCTTGAGAATTTTGTATATGTATGAGACTTTCACAAAAATTGGTGAAAACAGCGTTGAATATATAAATTCATACTCAGGTATCATTCCTAGGTATTATTAGGAGAGATGGCGTGTGTCAATCTTAGTGTAAAAAGCAGTATATCTTGTTAATTGGTCTGTAACACCCGGTTCTCTAGTGTGTTGACATTGGGGTAGCTGGCCCTGGGTGCAGCTGCAGGTAGCGTGATCTCATCCAACTCATCGTGAAAAATAGTAACAGGAGGACGGAGGCGACGAGACAAACCTTTTATAGACTTTTATTTGTATAAAGGGAGTTTGGGACTCCTTTCGGTTGT